CGAAAAGTTATGACTATGAAAGTGTATTTTGCCTAAAATAAAAGTCTAGGGCCAAACCGGAACATAAAACCAACTGTGATCCATAAAAAAAACAAAGGTCATATTAGTAAAATTCTCATGCAATAGAGTAGACAAACCAATTAATATGACCCAAGCAAAATGACCCACAACACAAATTAGCAAAATCCAATTACAAAAGCTTACAGAAATCTTATGCAAACAAGACAAATGCAAAAAAAAAAAAAAATATAATAGCCATGTGTTGAATGTAAAAGTGGCTTTCTTCTACAACAACTACAGGTCCTTGTCATTTTAACCTACCTCTAATGCAACAGTAGCAACATTATATCTTTAATAAGTATCAAACAAAAAAAAACTATAATAGCCACGTGTTGAATGTAAAAGTGGCTTTCGTATACAACAACTACAGGTCCTTATCATTTAACCTACCTCTAATGCAACATTAGCAACATTATATCTTGTTCCCGTTCAAATGATAATTTGATCCAATTTTCTTCAGTACTATTTAAATTATGCAACCAGGAACCAAATAATAATATATTAATCCGATCCAAACGCTAGTTTGATATGATGTGATCTAGTACGACCAAATTGTTGCTTACCCTCAGAAAGAGTTAATCTAAATCAACCCACCGTCTAAAACCATGGGTCCATGATACTGTACCAGAAAAGTTAGCGATAGGATATTTTATGGCAAACCGTAGTTCAATCGTTAATTTTGTTAAATACCGCCTACTAATTTAGCCTCCAATACTGACATTTTGTGGTTGAACCACCGGTACGGTACGGTATCATTGACCATGCCTAAAATATGACCTACCGTTGATGATGCCGGCTCTCTTCATGGTTTAGTCAAAATCAAAAAGAAAGAAAAAATGGCAACACGCCAATAAAAATGGGTGTGAGCACTGAGCTCGACCGATAAATAAAGTGAACGGCTATTTGCCGCCAACCAAATTGCTATTTGCCGCCAACAAAAAAAAAAAAAAAAAAAATTCAAATTTTGAATTCAAATTTTGAATTCTCCACTTCCTTCCCTTCCTATAAATTTGAATACCATAACATTACCTCATTCCAACAAAACACTTTTGTCGACGAGCCCAGTGCCTCCGTCGCCGGCACAGTTCCTCCGTCGCCGGCACAGTTCCTCCGTCGCCGGCCAACTTCCCGTCGTCCTCAATCGTCGGAAACAAGTAAGTTTACTTTTTCCGACAATTTTTTCTGTTTTTCCGGCGATTTTTCCAGTTTTCCGGCGAAAAACACGGTGGGCCGAAAGAATTTGGCGGCCGGAACGTGGCCGGGCCGAAAAAAAATTTCGGCCGGCGCGACGCCCAGCCGAAAAATTCTTTCGGCCCGGCGACGTTCCGGCCGCAAATTTTTTACGGCCGGTCGCCGAAAGCGCCGCCGAAAAGTTTTCCGGCGGCGCGTTCGGCGACCGGCCGAAAAAAATTTGCGGCCGGGACGTGGCCGGGCCGAAATATTTTTTCGGCTGAGCGTCGCGACGGCCGAAAAAATGTTTCGGCCCGGCCACGTCCCGGCCGAAAAAATATTTCGGCCCGGCCACGTCCCGGCCGCAGAATCTTTTCGGCCCGGCGACGCGCCGGCCGCAATTTTTTTTCGGCCCGGCGGCGCGCCGGCCGCTATTTTTTTTCGGCCCGGCATGTTTTTTTAATTTAATTTAATTTAATATGTTAATTAATTAGTCAATAAAAGTTACTTAATTAGTTAATTTCGATTAACTACTTAATTAAATGTTTTTTAATTACTTAGATTAGTTAATAGAAAATTAAATAATTAAGAATTGGTTTAACAATTAATGTTAATAGTACATTAGTTAATAGACTTGCAGTTAATTAGTGATTAATTAACAATTAATGTTAATAGTACATTAGTTAATAGAAATTTAATTAATTAGTGCGCATCTATGTATGATATTGATTAATTAGTGATTAATTAACAATTAATTAGTTAATCGAAATTTAATTAATTAGTGCGCATCTAAGTATGATATTGTGTAAATTTGTAGATAATTAGATATGGATGATGCGGGTGGGAGTGAGTTGGGTAGATTCAATGGTAGGGTTGTTGATGCATCAACACGAAGGAAGGTGCCTCAGAAGAATAAGGAGAAGAAGCGCACTCGAGATATTGGACATCAGTCAGAGGCTCCTACTTTAGTTGCTCGTTCGTCATCACGGGCGTCTGGTTCCCATGGGGGGAACCAGGGTGCTGCATCGAGAGTGGTCTCTGCTGAGTTTGATGAGGACGATAGAGATGAGGACGATAATGATGAGGATGTCGATGTCCCTCCACCTACGCATGGACATGGACGAGTGCAGGATCGTACGGCGACATCACGTCCTGCTATGTATAGGGACCGAGCTGGGCGATTCGTACCACCTGCTCGTCAGGAGACAGAGAGCTCGGGGACTGGACGGAGTAGGGGAGGACGTTCGAGTGGTCCTCCACCGTGGGAGCTTGTTGGTGAGTGTCCTGGTGGACCTACGGATCCTAGCCTCATTAGGAGCTTCCGTGGCCACGCTTCCTACGCACTTTGGACGGGGCTTGGAGATCGAGGGGTCATCAGTTGCTACACCCGTACAGGGGCGGTTGACTATCTTGGGAACTACGTGTTTAGTCATGGCCAGGCGGAGGATCTGGTTCAGCAGTCAGGTCTCCAGCACCTGATCTACTCTATGTTCCGCAGGATAGCGATTGACGAGGCTTTGATCTCAGCTTTTGTGGAGAGGTGGCAGCCAGACACGAACACTTTCCACTTGCCTTTTGGAGAGATGACGATCCTCCTCCACGATGTTCAGTACTTACTGCAGATTCCTGTTGAGGGACGACTGATGAGTAGGACTTCTGAGCAGCTTGACCATCCGGAGGTGGGTTTGTGTGCGCTTCTTGGGATGAACTCGGAGCAGTTGAGTGGTCGTTCGGAGGTCCCTGGATTTGGTAGTAAGGGTAAGTGGTACGACAAGGGTGGTTTTCTTGCGGACATGGCGTCCAGGTACTTGCAGGTGAACGGGACACATGTGACAGAGGCGCAGTCGTACTTGTTGTTGATGTTGGGGTCCACTTTGTTTGTGGACAAGAGTAGAGACAGGGTTCGGCCGGTGGTGAACCTATTTTTGGACGAGTTGGAGGAGATAGATCAGTACAGTTGGGCGTCCGGTACACTTGCTTGGTTGTACAGATGCCTTGGTCAGGCGTCTCGTGCTGGTGCTAGGGGGGTGGCTGGTTGTCTCACACTTCTGCAGTGTTGGATCTACGAGTACTTTCCGGGTTTCAGGCCATCTCACTTTGAGCCACCTGTCGTTGGACCTGATGAGGCTTGGGCTTCACGATGGATTGGGCAGCCGGCGACTGGTTCTGTGGCTGATCCCAGTGTGAGGTTGGCGTTCTACCGTCGAGCTCTTGACAGCTTGACCCCTGCTGATGTGTTTTGGACACCTTTCCATCAGAGGCCTCATCTTGAGGTGCGTCGCTCTTTGTACACTGGAGTGATTCGGTTCGCTGATATAGGCGAGTTCTATGATCCAGCCCGTTGCCTCCGACAGTTTGGATACCGACAGATGATACCGCCTCCCCCTTCGCGTCCTCAGCGAGCAGACCGACCAGAGGCACCTGGTGGATATGTCATTCGGATTCCTGAGAGTTTTGATGCTGCATGGGATGCTCTGCTATCCCACATGGTTCATATAGACATGTACTCTCAGCCCTGGAGGACGTATCCATATGAGACTACGGCCGACTATCTTGACTGGTTCGTGGCACACTCTCATTGTAGAGTCCTACGGGATGATGGAGATGCAGATCGACTAGTTGACTCCGCAGCGGTAAGATTTGACCACTAGACCGTTACTCTATTATAAATATACTTAGCGTGAAACTAACAATTGTTATTGTTTTTTTTTTTGTGCAGCGTGCTCGAGACCTTTTGTACACGTTTGCACCTGCAGTTCGAGCAGCAGCAGGGACCGAGGATGAGTTTCTTGAGCATTCTCGACGAGCCTACAGGGCACTGCACGGAGTGCAGGATGTGTGGACTGAGTACTGGGCCTCCCAGGGACTCCCCCCTCCAGGGGATTTTTAGTTGTTTTGATGTTTAGATCGGATGTTTATGTTTAGACTGCATGTTTGCATATTTATGTATGTTTGGATCAGATGTTTATGTTTGACTACTTATGTTTGGATCGGATGTTTGACTACTTATGTTTGACTACTTATGTTTGGATCAGATGTTTATGTTTGACTACTTATGTTTGGATCGGATGTTTGCACACTCATGATTAAAACATCGAGGGTAGATAATGAAATCCATAATGATATCCATAAGTTCATGATGATAATGAAATCCATAATGAAATCCATAAGTTCATGATGACACTAGAGCCATTTAAAATACAACTAGAAAAACAACAACATATAAATAGAGCATCGCAACACTATGCATTGCTCCTACCCCTACCCCTTCCCCTAGCTCTTCGGGGGTCTCTCTGCCTGGCTCGCTGCCGACCACCAAGACTCGCATACAAATTTTGTCCACCCTCGAGAATAGCTTCCCATCCCGCCACGTTAGGACTTGCTATCCCATGCCAAAGTGGATGCAGAGGGGGTATGGGAAACTGATCCTGGTTGAAGTACAATCGAATGTAGTGGTTGTTCACATAGTGCAGTGATAAGAACATGGTTGGTGGCAAAGTACCTTGGTCCGCATCAATAGGCAATACCACATAGGCATCATCGTAGCGGTTGGGTAGTGGACGGTTTCCATTATTGACATCAAACATCTGGTATGTGAAGACCATGACTGCGATGTTGTAGATGGTGGCAAACACGAACAAGTCCTCAGAATCCATCCATCGCCCCATTGGTGCGGAACCCGCCTCGAGCCAATTGATGCGGTCAATGTGAGCTAGTGGACCACCATTATACAAGTTCTCGTACTTCCATAAATGTTGTTGGATTTCATGGACAATCGCCGATCTCATGAGCAGATAGTGACTATCATCCCCATAAATACAATGAGAAAGTGCCCTAAAACCACAATGGCCGTCTGGACTAGGGTTGAAATCGCCTACCAGCAAAGGTCGAACAAACTCTGGAAAAAGCTCATCGATGTAAGGGTAAGAATATTGCCCTGGGGGGCTCTGTGATGAGTAATCTACAAAAAATATACCAAACAGTCAAAATTACTTGGACAAAATTTACAAACATAAACCAATTACTACTAGATGGACTACAATATTTAACCAATTACTCACCTGTATCATGCTCGTCGGATTCACCTCCACTCGATCGGGATCTACCTCCACTCGATCGGGATCTGCCTCCACTCGATCGGGATCTACCTCCACTCGATCGGGATCTACCTCCACTCGATCGGGATCTACCTCCACTCGATCGCCCCCTGCCTCCACTCGAACCAGGCCCAGTACTCCTCGAACGAGACCGCTCATAATATGAACGAATGCGACTGGTGCTTGTTCGAGGCCGTCCTCTCGGATTCTCATTCACTTCCGGTTCCCTCACATTGTCCTCTGCTGGGTGAAGCCCATAGAATAGGGCATCTCTTGCTTGTCTCACTGCTTCAGGACCTCTTTCTTCCACCTCAACAGTAAGACGCCTAAAGTGTTGTCGTTGAAGCTCAATTTCATCATTGACTTGTTGTTGACGTGGGGGGTTTTTATAATCCAAAGTCCGCCAAAATACATGCAACTCTTGAGCATAGAATTGACGTCCTTCTTCCTTAGCTTGAACAACCTGGCAAGCACACTTGAGCCCATGTGTCATCTGAAAATGACACGCACAACGGTCCTTCAACTCCGCCGCCCCATCTAACATCAGTTTGATCGCCTCACAACTAACGACCCTCCTCAAAAACGTGCACGGAGGCTCAATTGCCCTACTCAGATTGCGGTTAAGTGACTTGTGCAGCTCATTCACCACTTCTAGAAACTGATGTTCCATGTAGTTGTGGTTCTTCGCAAAACAAGTGTCAATCGCTCCTCTACCAGACACAAGGAAACTCTTGAATGAAGAGTGAGATGACTCAACTCTATTCGAGCTCGTGTTACCAAGATGAAACACATGGTTCGTGTAGCACTTTGCCCACATTGTCTGACAAGGCAACCACTCACCTCGCACGTAGTCAACCATTTTTATGTTCTTCTGTGTCCAGACCCTCTCAAACTGATTAATCTTTTGAAGAAAACCCTCCTGAGTCCAACTCCATGCAGCTTTGTCGAAATATTTCTTCCATACCGCTTCTGCTACCTCTCTTCTTGAAATTCCACCCAGTAATTGCTCAAACTTTTGCTTCACACAGTTGTTGACGTGCCATAAACATAGTAGGTGGACAGTATGTGGGAGAGGGAAGACCAGGGGCATAGAAGCAAGCAGACCACCTTCTTTGTCTGTCACAATGACATTCGGAACCGTATCACCGAGCAACCCTTTAATACATCGCAGCACCCACTCATATGTTTCCTTTGTTTCCTGCTTAATAAGTGCACATGCAATGTTGAAATTCTTCTTGACTGGAGTAACCCCAATAATCTCAACCCATGGCCAGCCATACCTATTCGTCTTGTAGGTCGAGTCAATGATGATGACGTACGGCCATGCATGCAACATCTGAATGGACGTCGGGTGCGCAAAAAACAGATTAGTGAGCACATTATTAGAGTCCTTTTGCAAACAGATATGGTACCCACGTTGTTCAGCTCCATGAAGCGCAAACTGTATCGCATCCATTTCACCCATCTCATCCAATCTGTTCTTGTAATTTCTGTTGTACATCTGTTTGATATCATGACTCACACCCCCTTCAGTATTGAGTGTCGTCTTCTGCTGATTTGGTCTCACCCCCGCCTTCCTCATTAATCTTAACCTCTCTTTTTCAGCCTCACTAAACTGTTTGTTGTGTCGGTGATGTTCTGGATACAACACCTTTTCATGGTTGTGAAACCCTCTATTAGCTCCGGTTGCACGACTTGTCACTCCCACTAGGACCCATGTGTTTGGACGATCCTTTTGCCATGCTTCCTTAATACATATCTGAAACTGGCAACCAGTACCCTTCGAACTAGTATTCCCACGCGTCTCCTTCGTAGGGTCTGGTTTATAAGATTTAACGATCCTACTGCTTCTGTCGCAATACATACAGAGGGCAGTAAGTCCAGAAGTATTCGGTTTCCATGCTCCTCTAACAATAAAGAACCCGTTCTCCTGAGCGATTGCTATTGCAGCTAACTCAGCTAACTCCACACTTGCATAATGAATCCCATTCTCAAATTCTGCTGTGTAATCATGATCGGCCGGTAACCACTCTGACATTTTTCCTACAATTACAATATAACACATCAATATTCTTGTGAACCTAAACGCTAATTTCAACTCTTAACCGCTAAATTCAACTCCTAAACGCTAAATTCAACTCCTAAACTCTAAATTCAACTCCTAAACTCTAAATTCAACTCCTAAAATCTAAATTCAACTCCTAAAATCGAATTTTTCCGACGATTTGCAACGAACAGGGTGAGCCGAAATTTTCCGGCGGCCGGAACCTGGCCGGGCCGAAAACTTCCGGCGGCCGGAACCTGGCCGGGCCGAAAATTTTCGGCGGCCGGAACCTGGCCGGGCCGAAGGAAAAAGGTGGCCGGAGCCTGGCCGGGCCGAAAATATTTTTCGGCTCGGCCAGGCTCCGGCCACCTTTTTCCGTCGGCCCGGCCAGGTTCCGGCCGCCGAAAATTTTCGGCCCGGCCAGGTTCCGGCCGCCGGAAAATTTCGGCCCACCCTCTGTTCGTTAAAAATCGTCGGAAAAATTGTTCGAAACTAAAAAAAAGTTGACGCACCTGCTTAGTGATGATTCATGGATGCGTGACCGCAGTTTACGTCGAGGATGGGCTTTCCCGATGGTTTTCCGGCGACTTTTCCGGCGAACGTCGATTTTTTCTGATTCAATACGTTTTCTGAAACTTGAAAATGTTGTAGGTTGTGAAAAAACTTAACCAAAGATGTACATATATACTTTCTTCTTCTTTTATTTTTTATTTTTTTTTTTTAGTTGGCGGCAAATAGCAATTTGTTTGGCGGCAAATAGCAAGCCCCTAAATAAAAGGCTGTGAAAAAAACATAAATAACCAACTTATTACTTTGATAGAACTCTTATGGAACAGTAGATCTCTTATATGTATGAATATTATTAAAGATACAATTTAGTTACTGTTGCATAGGAGTGTTGCTAATATGAACCGGTTGTCATCATTTTAGCTCACCCGCAAGAATTCTGCAACAATATATACATGGTGAAAGAGTTACTCTCCTTTCACTTATGTGTGTGCCCTTTAAGTTGTTTTTCTTTTTTTGGTTTGCATGAGAATAGTTTGAAGGTTTGGTTTAGTGGTAGGTTATTTTGTATCAAATTTTTGATTCAACCGTGATTCAACCATTTCATACATTAAAAACATCGATAGAATATTTGTATGGTCGAACCGTTAATACTATATGGTTTCACAAACACTTATTTAGTTTGCATGGGATTAATTTGAAGGTTTGGTATTAGAGGTTGTGCCAAAAAGTTAGCGGTAGGGTATTTTGTATAGAAGTCGTGGTTCAACCGTTGTTTAACCATTTCATATGGTAAAACCACCTATGATAGAATATTTTTATGGTCGAACCGCCAATACCGTATGCAGTGGAGTAGCCAAAAATTTGCTTTAGGGGGTGCCGATTAAATTTTTTTTTTTTTTGTTAATTTCACTTTCCCTATATCTAAAGCAAAGCTTAAAATGGTTTATGAGGAGAGATTGTTGTGACAGTACTGGTGTAGTCGAGTTAGAGTTAAATGAATAGGTGCATTTGAGAAATTATCTTCATGCCCTTGAACATTTGGAATTGTTTTGACTTTTGACCCATTTTATCAAGGTTTCTCCATAGTAAAAGCTACATATTTAAAAAAACGGAGTAACCAAATAATTCATTGAAAAAAATCAATTAGATTGAGGACAATAACAATAAGAAACCACAATAACAATCTTTACCTACCGGTTGGGGCAGTGGTAATGGAAAATTTGTCAATTGGGATGGTGTGATGCTACCTATAGGTTACCTTTGTAGTGGAAGCCTGGAAGGGAATTTGATTACTAGATTGTTTGTTATCCTTTCGATACTTTTTGGATAAAAGTATTTGTTTTATTATTTTTTCCCAACTCATAAACGTCCAAGTACACAGGTACGGGTGCAATTTTAATGGGCTCTATCCAACGTACATCTATTTTCTTTTGTTGAGCCCAAAGCAAGGGTGTCCATTGGCACCACCTCCTCCTGTGTTAGCTCCGCCCCTGACCGTATGGTTTGACAAATACTTATTAATTCTCGACCCACTAACTCGACCGAGTCAACGGGCCAAACCGGATTCACAACCTCGGACACTACTCATAGTTAACATTAGGGTATTTTGTGCTAAAATCATAATTCAATATTGGTTAAATCATGCTTGAAACTTTGCTCCAACCCAATTCTCAATGAATCTTCAAAAAAATTAAAAATTGTGAAACCATACCGACAGTCGTATCGAAAGACTTAGCATTAGGGCATTTTGTGGTAAAATTGTAGTTTAGTCGTGGTTAAATAATTTCCTACCGTTAAATCACCTACCGATATAGATTCTATTAGGATTTTTTCGATTGGACCGCCAGTACAGTACAATCGTAGTTCAACCATGGTTAAATACGACTTGACATGTTGCTCCAACCCGAATCTCGAATTATGTTAAAAAAAACAGAAAGAAGTAAAACTATACCTAAGGTCATACCAAAACAGTTAGATTTCAAACTCTTTGGACAATCTGTAAAAGAAAGGTTTTGAAGGTGTAAATATGTGGATTAGTACTTAGCACAAAACCTTTACCCTTCCATATATGCCTTACATTGACATTGAAGATGTTACGTCTTATATTGTTACTTGGAAAGGTGTAAAGTGTCATGGATTTTGTAGGAACGTTTGTATGTTGAGTACGGTGTCAGTACTCTATGTTGTTCGGATCAATAAAGTTCATGTGGCATATGGTAATTGTCCAAAGAAGCAGTGTAGGTCGATCGGCCAATAACCCTAAATCTACCCATTCATATAAGGAGATTCCGCATGAGGAGTGGGTCAAAGCATAAATTGCAGCTCTCAACGTATCTGACGGAAGGCTGTAAACGTCTTTGCACCTTTATACTTCTATAATCTCTTTCATTTTTTCCACCAAGGTCGGAAGGGAAGCCAACCGAGGTTGGGCTACTTTTTTGTTTTTGTAGAATCCTCTTTCTATTTTTAGTTTTAACTTTTAAGTTATATCATTTTACTTTTATGTATTTATTACTTATTGGTGACAAGAAGAAAATTATTATGCTAATTAAAAGGAATTTTCTAATCTATAGTCACTCTAAACTCTAGGTGAAACTTATATGGAGTATAGTAAGTATATATATTCCGTTGGTTAACAAAAAAGGCAACATCTAAGTTATACATGTCAACCTTCACATTATGTTTATCGACTTGAACAATCACAAGGTCGAGCATTTGATACTCTTATAGGAATGTTTCTTTAAAACGGCCGACCTAAAGAGGAACACGATCGATAGTTA